AATGTCTTTGGCAAAGTATACTAAAAGCCTAGGAGAGTTGTCTCAGGCATTTCATCGAACACCTTTTGGGTGGGAAATGCCTATTGATCAACTTTTGAGTGGTTAACTCAGAAGATGCATTATGAATACTCTACTAGCAAGGAACAAGAATGATCTACACTAAAACAACCTAGAACTAACCTAATCACCCTTAATCTCCTTAACCCATGAATTTAAAAGGTGATTTACTCACTAATCATCATGATTACTCTTAAACCCATGTTAGATTCAAGCTTAATCATGTAGATGATGAAAATAGACAAGTAAAGCAAAGGTTTTTCAATGGTTTCTCTTCAAGAACAAAGCATATCTGCCTGGTAGGCTACAAAGAATACTTAAAATTAGGTTTTTCCAACTCAAAACATAAAAAACGAAATTGCAAAAAGGTCCTCAAAACAAGTATTTTTCGTCCAAACATAAGCGCACAACGGGGTCACAACCCCGCTGCCACAACCCCGCTGTGGGGTGTCGTCTTAGCCGAGCGGCCCCCCTGACTCCGCCCCGGGGGTCCGCTGTGGTCTGGGCCGACCCCCTGACCCCGCTGCCATGACCCCGCTCCAGGATGCTCGCCTCTAGTAAATTGGTCATAACTCCTTCATTATATCTTCAAACGACTTGAAACCATTTCCATTAGAAAGATAACTCAATTTTCTATGTCTCCGCAAAATCTTAGTAGCAGAAGATATCTTTAAAGGCTCCATCCATGCTCATCTTTCAGCCCTTTTTGGATCACAATGCTCCTAAACGTCTCAAATCACTCCATTGCACATTCCAACACCTAATAAAGACAATGAATGCAAAATGCAACCTAGACATGGCTAAATCCTAATCTATATGATGAAAATGCTCATGGATGAATGGGTAAAACAATGCAAATACGCAAGATATCAATAATGTATTTAGAAGTAGAGGTTATCTACTTAGGAGTAGGAGTTATCTACTTAAAGTCGGTTAATACATGTAATATATAAGTTCGTAAGATACAGAGGAATAAGATACACACTTTACATTATCAAATTCACATGGTATCAGAACAGAGATCTGCATAAACGTGATTATTGAAAATTCTGTTGTGAGAAAATTGTTTTTCATCTGCGATGGGAGATACGAGTGATGGAAAACAGATTGTGGCGATGACGAGTGATAAGTTGGTTCTCTCGCCATACTCGTTGTTTAGCTCTGATAATCCAGGAGCTTTGATTACTTCAGTCCAACTGAAGGGAGATAATTATAATGAATGGGCCATGGAGATGATGATTGCTCTGCGAGCTAAGAAGAAGGCTGGGTTTATTGATGGAACTCTACCGAAACCAGCTGAGGATAGTGGTGATTTGGAGTCGTGGTTGAGCGTGAACTCTATGATAGTTGGGTGGATTCGATCATCTATTGAACCAAGGGTGAGGTTGACGATAACATTCATCACGGAGGATCACAAACTGTGGGAAAACTTGAGAAAGCGTTTTGAAGTAGGAAACAAAGTGCGTATACATCAGCTGATGGAGCAATTGACGTCTTGCAGACAGAATGGTCAAGCAGTGATAGACTACTACGACCGTCTGGCGGTGATGTGGGAGGAGATACAGACTTACAAGCCACCTCCAGCGTGTACCTGCTCTGCAGCTGCTATATACAAGAAGGAGAGAGAGGATGAACGTGTTCATCAATTTATTATGGGACTAGATGAATCAGGATTTGGTAATGCAGTAACAGCGATCATTGAAGCGGATGAGTTGCCTGATTTGGGGAAAGTGTATGCCAAAGTTATTAGAGAAGAAGCACGTTTGACTACAGCAAAGGCTAGAGAAGTGATTCCTCAAGAAACTGTTGGTTTTGTAGCACGTCAAGAAGTCTCGACGCAGAAAGAGACAAAAGACACACGAGACTTGAGTGGATTTGGTGCTAAGACTGAAAATAATGGATCTGGTTATGGGAACATAGCTAGGGATCGTGTGTGCTCTAACTGCGGTAAGACTGGTCATGAGAAGAATAATTGTTGGCAGATTATTGGGTATCCAGTGTGGATGAATGAGAGAATGAATGATAGACGTGGTAGAGGATCTAGTAGAGGACGTGGTGGTTCAAGCTCAAGAGGAGGAGGTCGTGGTGTAGCAAACACTGCACAAGCTACACGTTCGTATAATGGCGGTGGTTCTGATCTCACTCCTGAACAGTGGAGAGCTATTACACAAATCATCAACGAAGGGAAGGCAAGCTCTCAGTCAGACAAGCTTTCTGGTAAGACTCTTGGAGATGTAATTATAGATTCTGGCACTTCTCACCATATGACAGGTGATGTAAGCCAATCGGTTAATGTGAAGAAAACTCTGCCGTGTGTTGTTGGGTTTGCAGACGGTGGTACTTCTATGTCAACTCATATGGGTGATATGATACTAACGGATCAAATCTCTTTGAAAGATGTTCTCTTTTAACCCAAACTGGATTGTACTTTGATCTCTGTGTCAAAGTTGTTGAAACACAGTAACTGTTTTGCCTTATTCACAGATACAATTTGTGCTTTGCAGGATTGTTCTTCGAAGACTCTGATTGGAGCCGGTGAAGAACGTGATGGGGTATACTTCTTTAAAGATGTTCGAGTAGCACGAGCCAACAGAGTAGATGGAAACATTGATGATCGACTCTTGTGGCATCGACGACTTGGACATCCAGCATTTGGTGTTTTTTCTTCTTTACATGAGCTTTCTGGTGTTATGAATAAGTCTTGTTCTAGCCCGTGTGACGTGTGTTTTAGAGCAAAACAAACAAGAGATGTTTTTGGTGATAGCATTAATAAAACAAGCAAGAGTTTTGAGATTATTCATGTGGATGTTTGGGGTCCCTATCGTGTACCTGCATCGTGTGGGGCAGTTTATTTCTTGACTATTGTAGATGATTTTACTAGAGCTGTTTGGACATACTTGCTACTTGCAAAATCCGAAGTAAAGAAGGTACTTCAGCGTTTCTGTGCTTATGCAGAAACTCAGTTTGGGAACTCAGTTAAGACAGTGAGAAGTGATAATGGTACTGAGTTCATGTGTTTGACAACGTTCTTTCAAGACAA